ACTTTTTTTCGTGAAAAATTTTTCACATACAAATTTTTTGATAAAAAAAATTGTTTTTGAAAATATGCCATCTCAAAAAAATAAAAAAAAAATAACAGTTGTAGCTCTGAGTATTGCGCAATATTTAAATATACATAGTATTACGGGCTGCACACTACAATAATTTGAGTTATGCATTTTTTTTACACCGAAGTTGAATAAAATGAGTACGTTACAAATTTGCAAATTTTTTTAATTTTTTTTTTTTAAATTTTTTGAGCATGCAGTTTCGTAGCCCATTCAATTTTAGTATAATAAACTGCAAAATTGCGTTGATTCTTAATTTTTTTTTTATGCTGACGGCTTTTTGCACTTTTTCTTATGGAAGAAAATGCGCAAACCCGTTTTCAAATAAAATTAAAAAAATTGCTTAAAACTTGCGCTCTCTTTTACTAAAATTTAATGGGCTACAAAACTGCATACTCAAAAAAATTCTAAAACAAATTAAAAAATTTGTAAATTCATAACTAAAGTTATTGTAGAGTGCAACTCGTAATACTATACTTAAATATTGCATGTGAAAAATTTGTATGTGAAAAATTTTTTAAGAAAAAAAAATTTTAATATTTCTTTTCATAGAGAATTTTGATGCGTTTATGTGTGGTTTTTCAAATTTTTATCTCGCCCTGTTCATGAGATATTTGGAAAACTATTAAATCGATTAGTTTTTGTTTTTGTGCTATAAGGTTTTTAAAAATGTATCAATCAAGCTCAAATTTCATATTTATTTATTATGTATGTTTATCCATCAACTCCAAAAATTTTAAATAAATCAAACACATGAAGTGTGAACCCCGTCAATTTTGGTATGGAACGCCCCATATATGTATATGTACATACATATGGCAAACGAACATACATAAATCTCCAATCGAGAAAAGGAAACAGCTACACATATACATAAACAAGCCTCACATATATACCAGACAAAGTCAAAGGCACTTAATAAAAGCAATAACAAAAATATTTATAGGAACACCGACAGTGAAATGTGGCTTAAAAAGTGGACAGTTAAAAAACCGTATAATGTGGGCGATGAGATCATAAGACAAATATCAGCGTTGACACGCCGCTCTGTGCTGTACCATATCTCGGCCAAGCCAAATGATCTACCGCCGATCTTATGTGAAGTTTTGCAAAAGTATTAAAATGTATTGTGATTATTTATCAAATTCTTGACTTGGCTTAGTGCTAAAGAATATGTACTTATACACATAGTATATACATTTGTACGAATATATGTAAATACCCTGCAAAAAAATTGTGCGACGAATGTCAAAAGAGCATATTCCGGTTTTAGTCTCAATCGGGGGCAGTTGGGCATTAATACTGTGGTCATAAGCAATAACCGCCTAAGTAGACTTAAGAAATAATTGAGTTATACATGCTATCGTATTCTGCAACTACTATTCCATGTGTATGTGAAATCCATATCTTGCCAGCTATGCTATTTAAAGAGTTATAGACGAACATATTTTGGTTTCCCCATAAGGTTAACATTACTATGCAAATGTTTAAAACGTTTTTTTTTCGAATTCAGATTTTTCGACTTAGGCGGTTATTGCTTACGACCACAGACTTAGTCGTAGCTAATCTCATACGGGTATTATTGGAGATTAACTGGACCCCGACTCAACTCTAACGGGCACAATTAACGATTTAATTATATGTAGGCACTAAGTTAACGAAATTTCATGTGTGACGTTGGTATGTAGAGAGAGTATTCGCTTAGCAAATCGGAGAGCCCCGGTTCAAATCACAGCTGGCGCAAGTTTTCATTTTTATTTTTTAAATGCGACTAGTCGCTTCTAATACCCACTAGGGTATAAAATGGAAATATTAATCTTCTCATAGGACATGCTCAAACACAACCGATCAGTTCATTCCATATAAAGAGATCAAGAAAAGTTTTACTAGTCGCATGTTCTTCTGCGAATTCTACCGGAGTAATCCCAGATTAGTCGCATTTTCCTTTGGGGTATTTATGAACAAAAATTCTAGTACCCAGATGTGGATGTGTGGTCAAGCAACGTTTGATTCACCATCTTATTCTATCACATAAACTATTCGAAAAGAAGTTAGTAACACAGTGCTACAAAAATATCACGTAATAGGCCCGAAACAAAACTGAATGTAGGTTGTGAATAGGTAGGGTCGAGTACAACATGCAATGTAAGTAACTTACATATAATTCCCGAAACCTCCATTTTTTTTAAAGTTAGCTTCCTACTTGATATAATAATGCCCAACTCTGTATGAGTCATTATAATTCATGGCAAAGTCAAAAAATAGAGCACTAAAAACTAATGTTATTATACCCTAATGTAGAACTATTTGGTAAGCCGCATATGCGAAAGACACGACGAAGCAATTAAATTATAACTTCCGCTAATGAGTTTTAAGATATTCGCACGAATGCTATAAAACTCGTATATACATACATATATGTATGCGTAATTAAATAATTTTAGAAATATATATTTATATACATACATAAGAATGTACATATGTACATGTGTGAATGAGTATGAAGACGAATTATAACACCTGCACACTTAAGCATACAAACATACATATAAACGAAGAAATAACTAAAAAATGTAATATGTAGGTACGATCATAAAGTTGGCATATTAAAGCTGCTCTATTCAAGAAGATTTAAAAGATCTTTGACCTTAGCGTTCTTTCTATTATAAATATGTGTCAACGTACGTACATTTGTATGTATGTATGTATGTATGCAATAAAAATCAAAATTCTAGCTTGGCGCTGGAAATAGTACGCAGAATAAAAACCACTCTGCTATTCATACTTCAAATGTCTTGAGACAAATGCGAGAAGAGGCTCATTCTTACCGTAAATACAGAATTCAAAGACCTTTATTCAATACCCACTATTATGCAAGATGTAGAGAAGTAACGGCGACGCTGATCGTGGCCTACGTCACTCAGCTTTGGCCTCGCCGATTCCACCTCAATCAGCACAATCTCCCTCGCCTATCCGCAAAATCCGTGAAAATTAGTTTTTGCCATTAGAACCAAAACTGAAAAGCGAAACCCACTTCAAAATATTTGAAATCAATAACCACGTCCACCTCCCACATAACGGTAATTTGCAAAGATACGAAAGCTGCGATACATACCGATTTATCTACTACTAAAGCCAAGTCACTTAAAATTTATGTTTACAATAATCCTCTAGAAAGTAATAGAGAATATTACACCGTCCTAAAAAATTTAACTTTTTTGCACCATAAAAAATGAAAGATTTTCGGAATAGTGACAAAAAAGTACTCTAAATTATTGTTTTTCTAGGCTAAGTCTCTTGCGGATTCCATGTGGAAAAACAACACTTAACAACCAACCGCTATGCTGAGCCGGTCAATAGAAAATTGCCTTGTGATTTTTTAAACTTTATTAAACTTCGTATACAAGCTTTTTTGGGGTTACTGATTATGAATCTGATCCGGCGTTTACATGAGGCGATTTTTGCTTTGTAAACAAGGTATGAAGTCAGTTTTAAAAACTCAAAATCGTTGAACAAATATGGCGGATGGATTTTTGAAAAATGGCGATTATGAATTTTGTACTCAGCCACTCAAAGAACCTTTGGATATCCAAATTTTATGAAAATCTCAAAATTTTTTAAAAATCTATGGCGGATAGAATGCGCCCATATGTAATTTTGAAAACTGATTTTAGTTTTGTTTTCAGCGTCTTCTAGAACTTTTGGATATCAAATTTAATAAAGGCCTGCCATTTTGAATTTTTAGAAACTGACTTTAGATTCGTAATCAGCAACCCCAAAAACCTTTGGCTATAACGTTTAATAAAAGTTTAAAAAATCACAAGCATAGGGTTGTTTTCCCCCATAGAAACCGTATATGACTTAATCTAGAAAAATGATAAAATACGGTTACTTTTTTCTTTACTTTCCAAAAATTCATGATTTTTCATTTGTGCAAAAATTTGTGTAAAATGGCCCACTTATGTCTACAGACTAGTAACCCCTTTATCGATTTTTACCAAACTAATCCATGCAGAATCTTTGAAGAAAACATATTTAGTTGACGTAACTAAACTCCTTTCGCAGTGCAATTAAAATGTTCTAGAAAAACACTGAGTTTAGGCCAAATTCTTTGATGGCAGTCATAGAATTTACCAAATTTTAAACTTCTAATATTTCGAAATACCCTGTATGCAACTTATTTTCGAAGTATGTATGTATATAACGCCACCATAATAATTAAGACTGACTTAACAATCAAGAACCACCGTTGTGTATTTAAGCTTAATATCTGATTTTTATTTTTGTATACTATATTTTTGTTGTCAACTTCTCTCTACAATTTTGCCAGTTCTTAAGTTTGGTGCAAAAAAAACACCAAAAGCCAAAAGTTACATTCCAATCCACGAAGAAGTCCAACAAAAGCAATACAAGCAGGTGCATACATACACACGAGATTAAATCAAACAGCAGGAGGAAGAAAAAACTACCGATTTTGCAATTTTTTTAAAGGTGAGCTTCGAGTTGTCTCGTCGCTCACCGCGCATTCAGTGTGTGAACTCGATCTGCCACTTTTTACACACAATTCGAATTCACAGCGGAGTGCGAAGACGAAACAAAGCACGAGTACAAGTGTTGCTTTAGCTTCAACCAAATGAAACTCTAATTTTATTATGTGTGAGAAAAGCAGTCATTGCGACACATCGAACTGATTTTTGCAGCGGCGAGCGACTCCATAGACGATAGTGTCAGCAAAAGGTTCTTAAGTATATGGAGATATTTATTGCGCTCTTTGCTGTTCAGCAGCTCAGTTTCACTCTCCACAATCTATAAGATTGCCCAGAAACACACGCCTATCTAATTATTAACTTTTGCAACGGAATACAAATTTTTTCAAACACACACTCTCCAATCTCTTACATGCTCTCAATCGCTCTTGTTGTCTCTCGTTCCAGATCAAATAACCGAGTGCCCGAACAAAGCAGCAACCTGGCAGACAGTGGCGATCATCTGCTCCACCACCTCCATCCACCATCGCCGCCACCACCTCATGGATAGCATCCACAGTGCGACCACACAAAAACACTCGCAGCACGATTGCACACCGATCGGCAAACGTCGTCTGCTCCAACGACGTCGTCATCATTGTTGAAGCAGCTTACCAATTTTGTTATTGTCGTTGTCGTCGTCGTCTTCGTCTACGTTGGTGAGCTGAGGCCACAAGTACCACGGCAACTTGACGGAATTGTTGGTGTTGTTTTCGGTTGTTGATTTTCGACTTTTGGCACATTGCGACTTCATACCTTTTGTCAGTTGCTGCCCCATCAGTGGAGTCGACGAAGCAGTGGCTAAATTTTTTCAGCCGACTTTGTCAACGGGAATGGCGCTCCGGTGGCGCTAGTACGAATTTATCTACCGACGCGCGTTGTTCGGTGTTGCGGTGTTTCGTTTCGTATGTTGGGGGCAAGCAATATTTATGTACGCAGGTTTTTTGTTTTTGCTTATCGAAGAAGCGAAAATGTCTTAATGTGAAGCCGCGCATGCGTTAAGAAAAGTGAAAAATGTGAAAAGCTAATAAATCCAATACGAAGGAGCTACCGAATTATGCTGGCTGTCAGTGTCATTGCTGTTAGTGTGGCGGCGTGAAAAATTGCTAAAATATACTAACGAAGTACGGTGGTGCTCTGAAAAGAGCATTTTGTAATAACGGAAATGTGCGCCAATGCATTTGTTTGTGTAGCGCAAAGTGATTTTTTTTCTTTTGTTTCAGATTTTGCGAAAATTTTTAATTCGAGCTGCATTACATAACAAAAAGCATAACTGAAGCCTTGGCAATATTACGAGTAACAAATACACGAGCTCAACTCAAAATAGTTTTCTCCAAGTGCATCGAAACGATATCAAAATCAAAATCAAAATTTTTTCAATCAAAAGAAAGTGAAATTCCACTCGTAAAAGTGTCGAAATCTCCAAGTGTATTCTTAGTACATAGTGCGTCAATTCCAAACGAAAATATTTTTATCGTCAACAACAGCACCAGCACCAGCAACACCAACACAATGGGTACGAAATCGCCTGGTGGACCGCAACGTTGCCGTCTGATATTACAACGTTGTCTGGCCATACAGCTGAGTAAGCCTGGCCATACGCCGGAGGACTTTTGGATGTACGATTCGGGTTATATGATTTTTCAGGTGAGTTGATATTTAGCTAATTCATGCACACATACATAGGTACTGGCGTCGGTACTTAAAAGTGCCATTAAACACGTTTTAGCGACTTGAGTGTAAATATACTTTATATCTGCTTACCTAAATATGTATGTGTATAGCTAAGTATGTATTTATGTACACATATGTACGTACATACACTTTATTTAACTTTCTTTCTTTTTACGATTTAATTGTGATAAAACGCAGTCGTTGCGTGGAAGTCCAGTCGCGAACTGGCTTTCGATTTGTGTCACACATGAGAGATAGTGGTGCACGCGGCCTTGGCCCTTTTGACGCTTGCCCACTTGTGTTGAGTTGATTTCGGGTATTTCAAATTGAAGTTAATAAAATTGCAATAGAGTGTGAACATAGCAATTTGAATAATTGCTTACAGATAAAAGCAACGCGTTTAATTAAGAGTACAATAATACTCGTATAGGCGTGATGTCACTACTTTAGTGTTTTAGCTTTTCGTAGCGAATTTGCGGCTATTTTATCTCAGCGCAAAAATAAAAAGTTTACCAAAAATCCAATTGTGACTCGGAGAGTAATATAACTGTGAATCCTCTCTAATTATATTTAACCAAAACTCCTCCAAAAGCTCAGAGGATACCAAAGTTTGTGAATATCTTAAATCAAAAATTACCATTCCGTGAATTAACATACGCATAAGAATGTTATTTGTATGGAATTTAATCAAATTCATTAATTTCCATTCCTCTTCCTAGTTTTGCCATGTTTAAAAAAGTAGTAAACCATTTGGTTTGGATTAGGCGTAGACTAATGCCTTCGCACTTAGGTTAGGTTAGGTGGCAGCACCGTGTAAACGGGACTCACTTATACAATTTGGAGATTGTCCTTTGTGATATACCACATTCTGAACAGCACCCAATAATTAATCGATAAAACGCCCCGAGTCGATTATGTAATTACGAATTCGGCTAATATGAATGCCCCAGAGCTCCTCGGGGCTATTAAGGATGTGAGTGCCAAAGTACTTCAGCCTTAACGTCGCAAACGCTGGGCACCTAAGAAGGTAGTATTGAGGTGATTCCACCTCGTCATCTTCCAGGCAACTTCGACATACGGGGTCCGATAGTATGCTCAGCCTTACTGCGTGAATACCGATTGGTTAGTGACCCGTTAAAACTCCCACCAAAAGTAAGAGCGATCATTGGATCATGAAATATATCCTTACTAATATTATAAATCCGAAAGTGAGTTTGTTTGTTTGCTACGCTTTCACGCTTTAACTATTCAACCGATCATCATGAAATTTTGTACACTGCTGTTATTTAGCCCAACTTAAAATATAGGATACATTTAATCTCGATTAGGCAAGAGGGCGTGGCACCTCCCATACAAACGGAATTTTTCATACTGCATTTCTCAGGAAATATTTTTGGTAGATTACTGGAACTTGGTATTGAGATATATAAAATCATTCTCTACTCATGGGTGAGGGCTGCCACCTTTAAAAAAATCAAATTCAACTGCAATTAAGGGAGCTATTTATTTGAAAATTATATTAAAAAAATGGATGTCAAGAGGCTTAAAAAAGCTGTAGTTTAATATATTTTTAAAAGAGGTGCCACCTGTTTGAAAAGTAAAATTTAAATTAACTATACGCAAGCCATCTGAAGAATTAAAATATGGTTGTCAAACAAAATATTGTTAAGAAACCTTTAGTTTTAAAGTTTTGAATAATATTGAAGTCTTTCAAAAGGGTTGCCACCTTTTTAAAAATTCAACTTAATTAGCTAATACTAGCAGACCCGGCGAACTTCGTCCCGCACAAAATAATTTTTTTTTTATTGAAACTTTTGGTCCAACATTTTCACCAACAATTCACGTTTACGATTTCCATTGGCACGCTCATCGGCTAAGATTATGGTTTGGTGGTCGTTTTCCGCCTTAAATAACCTAACGAAAGCGTTATGTCCGTGATGAAGTTCTTGAAATTCTCTAATTGTGTAACACTTCATAGAACGGTTAACCTCACAACGAAATAAATTTGAAGAACATTTCCACTTCACTATCTGGCGACAAAAATGAACCGGTTCTATAGTAAATCTGTCCAAGAAACTTTATCGTATAGTTGGTGGCAATTTCAAAATGGATGCGTATAATTGTTCTACAGAAATCCTATATACATAGACTTATTTCAGACGTAATACACACCTTAAAAGTAAGTTTCACGAAAGCTATTTAAGTCAAAATAATCTTTTTTTTACTTGAATTTAATACAGTAAAAGGCGCGCGATGGTTTTAGCGGTTGATTTATCGGTGTTCATTTGAGATTTACCCCTGCACAACTCAAGCCTGGTGTCTCCGAATGAAGCTTTAAGGCATAACAATACTGACAAAAATCACATACATTGGGCCAATCGTAACACATAAAAATTCGATATACAGTATATTTTGCTTAGCTGCACATCCTTCTTTGCACGAAAAACTTGTGCACGTAACCGAAAAAGGCACTTAAGCGAATTTTCTTTACTACTTCAATGAGGAAGGTATCCGAATCCCTATGAAACCAAATATTGGCGGAGCACTTACCATGTAGAAATTACTGCAAACGAAATTTTTACCGAATGTTATCTAATTATCTATATAACTACATAAATTGATAGCCATTTTCGTTGTTCTGCGAGATGAGCAAAATAAATAAAAGGTTGTAAAATTAGGTAATTGTAGGGCCAGTGCAGGTAAACGTAATACTTTCATTGATAATTGATACTAGTCGCACAATTTTTAAGGCAGGTATCGCCAATGTGCAGGTATGTTGAATGCATCTATCGGAGTAGTTTCCTTATAAATGTTAAAAATAATGCTTTTGATGCGCATTTTGGGGTAGGTATATTAAATGTGCACTTAAGCATAGAGGCAGCAAAGCAAAATATACTGTACTCAATGGTGCAACAGGTTTATTTATTCTGACATTCACGGCACCTTTTCTAACTTGGCGATTATTCGTAATCACTCCAGCGCCACGTGGCAGCTCTTTTCTGCAATAGTATTGCCTTTACCGTTACCAATACATATTTTGAATATTGGCCAAAGTGGATCATCAATAAGATTTTTAGTAATAACTTAACTCCCGTGCCAACTGGCGGGTGAATTTGTGAATCTACACTATCCAGAGAGTTACTCAAAAACACACAAAAAACTTCGTTCAAAATCCGTCCCAGCATTTAGGAGGATTTCTCTCACAAAAACACCTACAGATGAATTATATAGACGTTTGTACGGCGCCACGCCCTCTTTTCAAATAGCCCGTTTTTTTCCATGAGTATAAAATTGATTTCATATATATCCACACCAAGTTCCAGTACTCTACCATGAACATTTCCAGAGATATTCGGTATCTATATATCGAACTTTTTTTCGCCTATAATAATCCTTGGGACGTTGGGAGTTCTCGAGCTTTGCGAACACAAAAAAACGGCTTTGGTATAGATTGGTATGAATCGAAATGGTTTTGAATATGTGTCACAATATGAGTGTTAGACGAAAGAGGTTTAAAAAGGTTGCCAACTGTTTAAAAGGTCAAATTCAAACTATTCAATAATTTAAATGAATTATTACAATATCAATCAAAATGATTTTAAAAGGGCTTAATTTCAAAACTACATGTAAGGGGATTCTGTTTAAAATCTCAATTGAGTTGAAAAAGTATGAAAACTGAGAAGTTTAAGAAAGTTTTAGTTTGAAAATATTTTGAAGATGGTTAAACAAATTTTAAACCTCCTGTTTTTGAATTGAATTTTCTTGAAATAAATTTTATTCAATGTAGCACGAAAAAATTTCATACACTCAGCGAAGCGGGTGAGGGCGATCTAGTATATACATATATATTTTTTTAAGTCGGTTTTTTTTTGCTAAAAATTACTTGTTTTCCAGGGGTTTTGTGCTAGAATAACAAAAGTCTTTCGATCTATCTTGCTATCTGCATTTTATTTATCTGACAAAAGACTTTTTCCTATCTTAGCCTATAAATGTAGTAAATTAAGGTGATTGTCAGCAGCAAGTGTGCATTAATTGGTCGCAACTAATCTCATAGGGTATAACTGGAAACAAATCAAACAAAAGAGAACAGTTCATTTTATATTTCCTTGCGGGTATCCCGGAGTTACCCCTCACTAGTCAGATTTTTGTATTTCGCCTTCCCCATTTCTCGTGCATTGCCAATGCCATAGGCCATGCCTTACGCCCAATATAGAATTTTGGAGTGATTCGTTTTGCGAATGGCATTGATCCTGTGTAGCTTACATATTTAGATAAATATAGACTATCTTTGGTAAATAAAAGTTTCAGTGAAATATTATTATAAAAGTGTATAATTACACATATCTTTTGCGAACGATTGCACCCGGCATTTATTTTTCACTGATAAATCAACTGCAGTCAAAAAAACTTTACAATTCAAATAACCACTGCATCAGCCAAAAAAGAGTGTTGATGCCACAAAATGTGTGTCTATATACTTGTACATCGCCTTCATTCACTACCCTCTTTAGCACATTTTCTAATGCCAAACACTTCCTTTGAATGCAAAACACCCACAACGCAGAGATAAAAGCAAAGGTTTATGCGCCCAATTTTTGCCAGACTTGGCGTCACAAGACCTAGACATACCGCAACTGTATATCGCTGTAACTGTTAGGAGCTTTTGAATGCATTTGAAAACAGTCTGGTAATTTCGAGTTGCTCCACTGGCGCTTCATCGTGGCAAATGCATTCGATATACATACTGCACTTTGCCATCCGTTTTCAAATGCAAGTCAACCGGAAATATAGCTGTCCGCCCTGAAAGCTACACAAAATATATATACACATATATACGTATGTATAAATAACGAAGTAAAGAGGCAGCTAAACCTTTTTGTGTGGCCTTGCACTTGCATACTGGCATTGATTACTCTGTTGCAAACAAATATAAATCCTATTTTTATAGTTTTTCGTGCGGGTTATTGATGACT